AAAATGTGCACCCTCCTAGATACGAAATTGGCTGTCAACTACATTGCTATATACTAGTGTACTGTATTGCTATTGCAATTTTTTTTCTATTCAACCTTGCAATTTACATTTTTTAATTCAGTGGCTATTGGCCTGATAATTCTGTCGTGAAGTAGACATACCTACTCTTGCCCCAACATCTGCATCACCAGTCTCCATCTGCTTCTCTTGGCCACATTCTTTTGCCCCAACATCTGCAGCACCAGTCTCCATCAGCTTCCCTTGGCCAGCTTCTTTCGCCCCAACATCTGCATCACCAGTCTCCATGAGCTTCCCTTGGCCACATTCTTTTGCCCCAACATCTGCATCACCAGTCTCCATTAGCTTCTCTTGGCCAGATTCTTTTGCCCCAACATCTGCATCACCAGTCTCCATCAGCTTCCCTTGGCCAGCTTCTTTTGCCCCAACATCTGCATCACCAGTTTCCATCAGCTTCCCTTGGCCAGCTTCTTTTGCCCAAACATCTGCATCACCAGTCACCATTAGCTTTTTTTGGCCAGCTTCTCTTGTACCAACATCTTCATCACCAGTCTCCATCAACTTCCCTACGTCAGCTTCTTTTGTACCAAAATCTAGATCACCAGTCACTGTCAGCTCTTCTGGGCCAGCATCTCTTGTACCAACATCTAAATCACCAGTCACCAATATTTCTTCTGGGATAGTTACTCTTGTACCAACATCTTCATCACCACACTCCATCAGCTCTTGTTTGTCATCTGCTTGTATACTTTTATTGGAAGGCTCATCAAATAGTATATGGTGATTGGATGGAACATCTATAAGACACATGATGATCAGGGTAAACCAAATTCATTTACAAGGAATGGTAAAATTTCAATGTAATTTCAACTATTCATTAACTGAGCTCCTACCTGGAATATTATGGCAAAACCTTCTTCAATATCAATAGTCAGACGAGCAGCCCCATAACCCGTTTGATCAGAAGATCCCCCACCTACGGAATTTTGAGTTCTACCTAAATGGAATTTGATATAATTTTAAAGTGGTAAATTATATTGTTTCTTGTCTTTTGTTTTTCTTTTACTAAGGATATCATATTTGGTATCCCTAGACCCATATTCTGTCCAATTTCTATTATTAAATCTGCAGAAATTACCTTAAGGGGACTTTTTTTATAACTTATTTTTTCAAAGATCATCAGAGGAGGGCAGAAAAAGAAAATGTTGGTTTCTTTTTCAGCAAATAGTTTTGCCAAAAACATACAGATGGAGGAGAAAATAAAAATAACATTTTATTGTTGAATGTAAACAGTGTAGTAATGGGATGGTTAAATGCTTTAAATTAGAAAATTAGAAAGAAATATACATACCTGTTTTTAGAGATTTCAAGGCAGCGGTGAGCATACAGGTAGTTAAACTAAGAAAAACTTTTACTTTTTTCTGAAATTTCCATTTTTTTCATGGCAGCCGGTGTGATAATTGGCCAACAATAAAATTTTATTTTTATTCCAAGTCATCATTATTCGTGGGCGATATACAGTAAGGTATAAAAATATTTTGTCTAAAATCTAAAAGGTATTAGTTTCTTGCTTTTTTTTTTAATTCTTAGGTCGCTTGGTTAGACTTTAGGATTTAGTTTTTGGTTTGTTTTCTTTCGTGTAACTTAAGCGCATAGAGACCATGTAGTATGCGTCCCAAACCATTACCATTACCATTGTAAGATGTTCCTTGAGAATGTTGGAAAATGCAATTCTTTTATAATAATAGTAATAACAGACATTTATAATGCGCCAATTCAAAGCTTTCAAAGGCGTAGTGGACTAGATGTTGCACTTTTCATAGCTTTCTCCTCCCCTGATGGTCACTTCATGTCCTCTGCAGCTGGTAAACTGGTGCATCTTCATGTCCCTTTGTGGGACAACCTCTTTAATAAACCCACTGTGAGTTCCCTTCACTTGATCCTCCCCATTAAAAGAAGTTGGTTATATTTACAAGGTAACAGAGTCTCAATGCCGTATATAATGTGTATACAATGGTGGATCCAGGAATTTTAAATAGAGGGAGCCCAGAGAGGGACTTTTACAGATGGAGGGTCTATAGAAAATTTATGATAATGGAACATCTAGATGGCTGGAAATGGCAATCTTAGGGTCAAAATTTGAGTAGAATTTTTTTTTCCCTACATTTTTTTTTTTTTTTAATTTAGGGGTCCCTCACCCCTCTCACCTTAAATCTGCCACTGGTACAAACAACAAACTGACATAAAGGTTTTTAATAATAAAAAATTTTACAAACAGCTGTCAAAGCCTAGCTAAGGTACCAATGCTTACCTGTAGATGTTCTTGTGTTAGCTTCCCTTGTAGCACTGTCCATGTTACCAGGCTGCCTTAGCCCTAGAGGGTCTTTATTTGAATCTATAATAAGATCTGTTGTTAAATTTCTCATAAAGTTATCCAAGTTTTCTTCGGAAAACTCGCTTCTTTGTTCCAAATCCACAAATAATTCCCATCTGTTACATGGCTGTTGACAACTGTAGAGTTGTGAGATCCTGACAACTTCATGGTCACTGAGACATTTAACAACCTTCATAAGAATTTGCCTGTTACATGTAAATTTAGATATGCTGACTGTCCTAATATCCAACAGCTTTACCATAGAAAACTTTCTTATTTCTGGTTCTAAACCAAATGGCTGGGTTACATTGATAGTATCGTAGAGAACGGTAAGATCTGCGGAACTCAGACATCTACATGTACATAATAATTCAAACACTTCAATCACGTTGGTGGCAGCATATAGTTTATCTGGTTCTGTTACAAGACCTTGGTACAAAAGCTTTAGCATATTGAGGTATCCATGGCGATCATACCATCCTGACAGTGATGATAATATACCTCTAAATTCCTCGTCAGAAATTCCTATATAATTATAAAATGTATACTGTTAATCAGGGAAAGCAGACAAGCTAATTGATACAGTAGAACCTCCTCTTTTGAAACACACCTATTTGGGGGCACCCCCTTTGAAAGCACACTTTTCCATGAAACACTCTTGCCAACACTTATTGCCATGATTGGACTGAGGTAAAAATTGAATGTCTATGGCTCCTGTAGATGGCCAAAAAAGCACTCAAACTTAAAGGTAATTTTCATTTTATTTTACCCATTAAAAATAAATAATTAAACATTTAAAGGGTAGGGGAGGGAAGGCCAGCTGGCCACTTGCATCATAAAACAATAATGGCCTATATATCTTTTGTTGTTTTAATTATATTAGTGTTAATTTCTGTATCATAATGTAGGGCACAATTTAATGTTTTTTTGGTTGGTTTCCCCTGAATAATGGTACCATATTCAGGAAATACCTCTATTAAGATGACACTTTGTTGGTCCAAATGGGGTCCCCTTAACAGGGATTTGACTACAGTAGAACTCCTATAGTGAAAAATAGTGTCCCCTTAAAAGGGGTGTCCCCTTAATAGGGGTTGACCGTAGTGGTAAAAGATATACTTTCACTCATTTTGTGACCAAAAAAGTGTCCCCCTAATAGGGGTGTCCCAAAGGAGGGGTTCTACTGTATATTCAAATACACTATCATTATCTATTCCAATATAAAGCACACAGATGTTATTGCACATTTCTAATTACAAGAAGCACCCATATTAAATCTATATTACCTTGGTTGTAATCCATAGTGATTGCTGTGAGTTTTCTAAAAATACAAGAAAATAATTTTTCAGTCAAGTGTTCAAATAACTTTTTTTCCATATAATAAATACATATTAAATATTAAAAAAAACTATTGACTAATTATCACCTTAACTAAAACATAATTTTAAAAAAAAACAATAAAATAATTATTACATTAACTAACTTAAATTGATTTAAACTAGAAATACTCCTGTTACCCTGCACAGTAAAAGCTAGCCTCCCCCACATAGTGATTTTTTTCTGAGAGTTGATGAGTAATAGTTTGAAACCAATCAGTCTTACCAAACTTTAGTTACCGTGGTAACAAACAATGTTCTACACCAGTGGCAATGACAACAACATGAAGAATATTACAATGTCAACTTTTAAAAGTTTTTATGGGAACTATGATGATGGTATGGTAAATTTAGTCATTACTGAAATATTAATAATGCAATTAGCATAACACACACGTACCAAAAACAATAGGCTCTGTCTTCTCATTACCATCTTGCATTCCGTGAACTTTGAAATAATCAGACTTACCAAATTTTCAAAAATTTCAGGATCAATGAAATATTAATTATGCAAATGAGCAATCAGCATATTCAAGCACATACCAAAAAGAAAAGACTGTTGCCTTATCACCATATTGCATTGTGCAAAGTTTGAAACCAATTCGACTTACCAAATTTTAGTTTAAGTATAGTAGGTAACTAGTCATGAAATTACCTGATAAGTGAAATATTAATTATGCAAATAAGCATATTCACACATGTTCCAAAAACAATAGGGTACAGCTTTTTAATTCTATATTACATACTAATTATATTAATAATAAAATATTAATTATAAAAATGAGCAATTAGCATATTCACACAAGTACAAAAACAATATACTCTGTCTTCTTATTAACATCTTGCAATCTGCCAAGAATTGAAATCAATAAGACTTAACAAATTTTGTTTTTACGTATATATACCGCTGGTGTCTAGTATTATGCATGTGCTTCCTGGCTAACATGAAGGAGTTCCCCCGATTTATATCCCTTAGCTAAATGATTCATGGCACACTCGTGGGTACTGATTTATATATATATAAACTATATAAAGAGGTGTCTAGTATTATTATATTGTATTATTAGCAGCATTATAT